CGGCGGAGAAACGGAGCCCGGTACCGGTGAGGGTAAAATCAAACATGAGCGAGATCAGGCCATACCGCAAACTTTAATACCCAAGAAAAATCAAATCCATTACACGCACACTGAAAGTAGCGGCAAGTTCACGCCGCGACACGAAACTTCCCCTTCTTACCTTCGTAACTGATTTCTGAGTGCACTACATATAAATAAAATACAGGACACTTTACATTTGTCAAACTTATTCCATATAAAGAAGTATTACACTGAAGACTATGCAGCATTTTATTTTACACCTGATACCATGTACAGTTTAATAGTGACCTAAATTAAACAGTCTTGGCTTCAGCTGAGAAAGACCTTACGCATTCCCGCCCTCCCCCGTGCATATAATTGACTAAAGAATGTGAACACATTCAGTAATGCGCAATTATCCCTGTGCATAAAAATACAAGTGATGAATTTTAAGAACTCAAATAGGAGTGCAGCTAAACCACTACTAACTCATATAGCTTATTCACAAGATTATTCTGCTTCCAACTCTTAATGCAACTGTTACCGTTTAAAAGGGGAAAACTGGCATTTTCTACATTAGAAACAGAAGCACATTGCTATATACCTAAGTAAACAAAAATGTATTTTCCAAAAAGAACACAAAAAATGGCACTTGTGACGATGTGGGGTGGCGAAGAACAAAACCATCAGAACAAATGATATTGACATTCGATCACCTATTTGTGAAAAACAGTAACACCACACTTCAAGTGTACCTACAGACTGGGCAGGAGGCAGAAACTGGGCAATATTACAGGTATATATACTTCTCAGCAACTGCACAGTCGATATTCACCTAATATTGTCTGATTTCAAGGAGCTTGGAAAAATCAAGTAAAATAATTATTGTATTCTATCTAAGGGAAAAAAATCGGAATGAAAGCTAAAAAAAAATAATCACAAAGTCCCTCAAAAAATAAAGTAAATAGTACAATAAGGAAGTTGAAGCAACTTTTTTATTTTTAGGTGTGCAGCGGCTTTTTTTGAATCTACTTGTTGCAATAGCAGTGTTTCAGTTTCAAACACATTTTTCTTGTAGCAGCATACAACTTTACAGTTCATTTATGGAGATAAATCTTGGTGGTTCACTTTTAGAAAGAAGAGTTCAAATAAGACTAGCTTAACCAAAGCTCTAATTGAAAACGTCTCTAGTTCAGAAGCCTTTATTCTCTGTAAGCATTCTGAGCAGAAAGGGGCACAATACTCAAACACACCCAGGCTCACACTCCCTTACACAGAATTGAAACTCTTAAAACAAAAGTTTGTTTTCCCTCCTTGCAGACTTTCCATTTAGGAATAAAGGCACAAATTTCTGGCCTTAATGGCAAAAATCCAAAAGCCAGTAACAGATCAATTGAAGAGATGTAATTAGGACATCACCATGAAAAAAGAGACTGGAAACAATGGGAAACAATCAAGCTATTGCCCAGTGCCATTTTGACTAAATATGAAAAACCCCTTGAATTCCTTATCATAATTTTTTTATAAAGAAATTTTTGAAAATGGATTAAAATGGTACTTAATTAAGGTAACCAATATATTAAGAAAATGGAATAGCTAACATTACACTTCCTTTCAGCATAATGATTATTAATTTTTTCCTCATGAATGTAACTTCTAAGTGACAGAAGATTCAGCCGCTTGTGTAGTACCACAATTGGTATATTAAATGTTCACCTAAGCCACGTCTGCAAGGAAAAAAATCCATTAGGATAAGGAACCAAGAAGTCACTAAGTCACAAAGTTAAAGTGCCTGAAGTTACAAGGAATCTCTCTACCAATGGGGCTGCATATGCTGATTCAAGTAGACGTGATTAGATTACAGCACCTATTCTTTACATGTAATTTTTTTTCCCTCCCGTGAGAAACAGGGATTTTTTTTTCTGTTGCACTACCTACACATGGCATGCATAATTCAGCTATGTTATCGACTTTAAAAAAAGAGCTCAAAGTATAACAGGACTTTCTGTTAATTATGTTTAACAAAAAGTACTGCTTCACTGTTTTGGCTTAAGCAGTAGGTGACTCAAAATCAATGTATTTTAAGATGGCTACGCATCTAATACATTTGTTTCAACACTGATAGATTAATGACAATCGGTGTTATTCCTGAACTGAGGTTAACATACAGCTTCTCTGTAACATGCTGCTTTTTCTTCACTTGATACGCTGCTTTCACATAGTACTTCAACTTGCCTATAGGTTCTCTGTTTTGATTAAATTGTTAACAGTAGTACAGTAAAAGGTTAGAATTTGCATAATAATCTACTTCATTTCAGTTCCACAGAAAATGCAGTAATGGTTCTGATGGCTATTGTATTGCTCAAGAATAAATTTATCACTTTCCAACCATTTCAGACTTCATAATTTAAGTTTAGCAATACTTGTCTAAATATGACACAGGTAGTACAGTAAGCACCTAACATGGATTCCTAACATCAGAAAGTAGAAAAAAGAAAATCACTATAAAACTATGAAAAAATGAGACAGCATATGCAGAGAATTAGCCTGGTTATGGCAAACATTAAAATTTATTCTCAAGAAAGTGTTTTTGCTTTTATTTTTAATGCATTCCAAAGCACAAAGACAGTGTATGTGAACGTTTCCTCCTCCACTTTCATAAGTATATTACAAATATGAATGGCATAATACATGTCTGGATAGCAATAGAGATATTAAGAAAATAGACACTATCTAAATCCTGTTAGGAATAAGAAGGCACCACTGATTTGAGGTTGTTTCCAGATACCACCCAGTCCACTTTATTCCAATTTCTAGCTTTCAAGCCAACATTTTTTTTTTCTGGTTAACCTGTTCAGACCACTTCTATTCTGGTTTTCTAACCACAAACAACACACATTCATAGTAGTATTTCATCATGGAGAGTTCATTCACAGTGTAAGTTGACAGTACAGATTCTTTCTCCACCTGAAAAAAAACCCAGCAGTTTTCAAAACACCTTCTCTACAACAACTAAACAAGTTTCTCTCAGTAAGAAAGAAATTGCTATAAACTTACTGGATTTGAAGGCCCATCTATATACTTTTCTAAAAATGAGGAAAGCAAATAACTTGGAACACACAATCATTTAATAATCCTAAATCATTTAATACTCCTAGAAGTTATTAGTATATGCCATTATGTTGAACTAAAATTAAGGTAAAGGTTTATTCAAAAGAGTTTGGCTTACACCAATACCACTCATTGCAAACTACAGGATCTTCTTACCTCTATATGGAATCCATATTGCAGTATAACATTTTTTATATCCTCATAGCTTAATTCTATAGAAAGTTCATTTCCCAAGTTTTCAAAGTGGTAAAGGAGAGGACCTAGAGTACAAAGATACAATGGAAATGGCTATTAAAAAGACAAGGTTTTTTAAAATTGAAAGCACATACTGAAAGTGCAAAGAATGCTTATATCCAGACTCACAGACAAAATTAGGTATTTCTATCACTCAAATACTTTTACAATGAATTTCAGAATCAATGCAAAATAAAACCAAATTTGTTTAGCTGCTTATTCAGCAATGAAGTTTCATTTCCTACCAGATTGTGTTTTTCTGTATCTTAAAATTTTGTCAGTCTAGCATCACTGCTGTCTCTATAGAACAGAAGGCAGGACATCCTGCAGTCTACTCAGGAGCTCTCCTTGCATGCTACGACTGGCAAGGACTGGCGTAGCAGCTGACTGACCAGTTTCTCCTATACAAAATGTTTAACTCCTGAGTTTTTTCTGCCATTCTGTCTCCATGGAAGACTTCAATTAAGTCTCTCTTCATTTCAGCCAGGACATATATAAATATCTCCCAGAGCTTCTGCTCAGAAGCATGATATGAATTAGACAACAGATTAAGAAAAAAAAAAAACCAGGATATATTTTCCACACAGAAAAAGTTCTATTTTCTTAAAAAAAACCTCAAAAAAAAATACAGGACACTACATTTGTGAAATAACAAATGTTTGATGCATGAATGCAAAACCTGCCACTGGGAAGATTTATTACTCTATTTAAAAATCACATGGTGTTGACTTTATTGTAACTAGCAAACACCTGGACACATTCTGAACACATCTGAACTGATTTCCAAGCCCTAGACACTACCAGCTCTACAGAGTTTGCAGCACAGACATGTTCACCCCCACAACTCTTTTCAATGTGTGTTATGTGATCAAACATAAGACAGGGCTGGCAGGAAGAGAGGTTGATCACACTTGCCTACATTTATCCATATTCCTCCAGGCTTTAGTATTTTCCATATAGTATCAATGTAATCAATGACATTATGTGCTGTATCTATGAAAAAGCAAGTGGCTATGCAGTCCCATGTATCTGTATAAAAACAGCAAAGTAAACAGAGATTAGTTTCAATGTTTCTACTCCTGTAAAAGCTTATCATTTAACCCCAATATTTGCTTATACACTTCAACTAACAATAGCTGAAGGCTCTTAATTTCGTTTACAAACAGTTAAGTTTGGGTTCATGTGACCTATATATAATACATGTGTGTATATACGCATACACATGCTAAAATATACTTATTTATGCATGCTATAAAATTCTTCATACATGTTATAAATACATAAATATATCTATTTTATATATTATATACTGTAAAATGTAAATAATATAACACATTTTATATAAATGAAGGCCCACGTGTATTACTATTACTCACCTGTCCTATAAACTTCATTACCATGACTGTTAAAAATACAACTGCAAAAATACCCAGTGATTTTGGGCCTCTCTAGTTAATCCCTATAACAATACAAGTCGGTACACTAAAGTTTACTTTCACAAATCACATAGCTTTAAAACATTTTACTCAGTATCTGAGTATTTCTCCAGCTGGTTTTTACTAGGTAATTTAACAAGCAGGATCCATCAAAGTCTACCTTTTAAAGCATGAGTCTCCCTGTTTTTCTCTAAACATGTATCCTTGAAATTGCAAAAGTTTTAAGTTCTGTAAATAAAAAAAAATTAAAAGTCTCAATTTACACCAGTATCAGATGTTCTAATGTAAGATAGAACCTTCAGAAAATTAAGCAACTATAAGGAAGGCTCCTATGAGAAAATATCTGGAAGTTTAGCTGCACAATAAAGGGCAGATCAATAGCTATCTAATCCCAGTGAAAAATTGCTATGGGTCTAACAGGGACAGAAAGGTCGAAACAGAAAATAGCTGTCTGAGGTGATAATCCAATACTGTGTAAGGAAAAAATAGTGTCTTCTAAATAGACATATATTAGAATAGTAGACTACATATAGAAGAACTGGGTAAGTGCTACCCTTGATCAAATCCTAAACGTGCAACTAGTAGAGCAGGCAGTAAATAAGATAGTCTTCTACAGGTTAATTCATCATTAAAACATAAAACATTACTTCATAGCTGCACAACTAACCTGGCATCACAAGAAAAAAATAAGGATTTTTGTACTGACAGAAGTATCAATCTTTGACAAGTTATCATCCTCATAATGCGCCTCTGAAATATTTACTATTGACAGTCAAAATGTATGTATTTTTATGTACTACTACTATTTTTTATGTACTACTACTGAAACAGTTTGCTTTGCTTTTACAACAGGAAATGAACCAACAAAAGAATACTCATATTACTGTTTTCTACATTAATGAAGAGAAGTGAATAGTTACCTTGTTCCCTTTTTACGTAATTTTTCTAAATGAAGTAAAACTTTCCATAATACTACCATCCTGTCTTAGTATGAAAGAGACGACTGCAACAAAAATCTGTTAGGCAAAGTGGTGTCCTTATTTTTTATAACTAAGAAAAGCTGATTTGGAGTAAGAAAATCTTGCTACAGTTAGTATTTGTTGCTTAACGCTTGTAGATACAGTTCCCTTCTATTTGTAATCATTAACTGTCCTGTAACAAACACTCTGAAGATACAGATACATGGATAGTCTAGAAGTTTCCATTTACTCACTGCACTCAGAATAAATTTCTTGAAAATCCCCTGCTGTCATAGAGAAGTTTGAACCAGAAGGAAGACTGTGAGGATCAACATCAGGGAAGTAAATTGGACGTATCTGATCAGCAGATCTTCTGTTATTGCTAAACTGATGAATCCAGGGATAAAGCTTACATGAGTTAATTTCAGAGCATCTGCAAAATACAGAAATCAGCACAATTCAATTCCAACTAATTGCTTATCTATTATCTAGAAAAGTAGGGGGTCAAATACTTTCACCAACATCCATTTTTTTGTTGATAAAGTTCTGGCAAAAGCTACATGTTTTATAAAGGACTTCTACCTAGTTCAGAACACTTCAGCCTGCCCATCAATTTATGAACTGATCAAAAAACCAATTTTACTCTGACACACAAATTATTACCACAAAATAACTCCCTCTTTGAATTTTAAAATTTTATTTTCCCACTTGTTACCATTTTCCGAATTAATTCTCCACTGAAAAGCAAATGCACAAGATTCTTTTATAGCATTAATGACATTTATGATTTCCTATATTCAGTAAAGCTACGACTTTCTGGATCTTTTTTTTCTATTAAAAAAAAAAGTGTAACATTACTTCCATGAATTTTACTGGAAACATTTGTTCTCATTCCAGGCTTTTCTGTCTTTACTGAACCATGATCAGGGGTTTTGAAGCACAGCAGAACAAAAGCATTTTTCAGATGCTAACTGAAATGATGCTTTTAGATTTCAATAAATAAATTCCATTTTGCAAAGCACAGTAGTTTTGCATTAGATGTCATTCTAAGTTAATAACATCTGGAGAGTTGCAATTATGCTAAGTAAACATATCTTTGTAAAATACAATTTGTGGGTTGACTCTTATTTTAAGAGCTGATAAAATATAGCATTAAAGTATAAAAAACAGCTTTTCCCACAGCCATGTAAAATCAGTTGGTAATTAAAAAATGAAGCCATGTTCTTTCAGAGGACACATCTGTCCCATAAAACATGTATCATCAAACCCTTCATAAACTACAAGCAATTTACCAGGTTATAGAAAGTGTACTCTTTTGGCTGGTGGATAGAAACCAGCTGTGGTAAAGTCTTTGAAATAGTATTTTTTTCTACCTTCTTAATGTCATATTTATATTTCATTTTACTGGTAAAAAACAATATAAAAGCAACCTGTATTTGAGCAGCAGTATACTGTGCTCATCAACTATCTCCATATATAATGAATAAATAAATATGAAATACATGCAGTCAAAAAAAAACCAACGCCAAAAACAACCAGGGAAAAAGCCCTGATAACGTGGGCATCGTTTTTTTCAAGAAAGGTATTTCTATTTTGGTTAAAAAACAAAACAAAACAAAGAAAACCAAACAAACAAAACCCCCACAAAACCCACCACATCAAAAAACACCACCAAAACTCCCCCATGTTGGCCAACAGAAGTTTTATGTTAACCATTCTAGCATCCGCCATACGTTCCCAGTCAATTTGTATTATTCTCAGAACAACTTTCTTTAACAATGAAAATTTCCCCAAAAGCAAGGTAAAGAAAATAAGAAATTTGAGTAGATTAGAAAGAAGCTTTTTCTGAGCTATATGGGAACACATACCTCCCTGGTTGCTTCCCCCCCAGCATAAAGTCTATTCATGTAGACTTTCACACAGTTCCAAAACGAATTCCCAATTTAATGTAAAAGACCAATCCCTCTCCATATTCAACCCTGAACACATCCCTTTCCAGCTTCAGTAGTTTATACTTCAAAACTAAGTACTGCAGTCCTTTACAATTCCATCTTTCCAACAAAAGACGTATGATGTAAGTTATGTTATAAAAATCTAACATCTTTAACCAAGTGTGATGCATTCCAATGTTTCCATAGGGGCAAAGCATTTACTGTTCAACATTCAGTTGAAAAGACAGTTCTGGAAAAGAGAGGCAGGTCAAATCTTAGTTCTGACCACTGATTTAAAGCTAAAATTCTTAACTCTTTTCCTCCTAAAGCATTTGTGGACATGCAACAAATACAATTAAGTAGCCTTCTCAACATGTCAAGATTTATCTAAAATTACATTCTTTCCAGAAAGATTAGCCAAATATTAGCATGAATTCTACTTGTATTAATTAAAACTTTTTTAAACTAACCCTACTCTGACTTAAGTACAAAGTGATTTTATATTACTTCAACTGAACTTTCTCAAATATTTGTAAGTGGGCCTACTGCTACTGAAGGGCTGTTGGACTGAGGCTACTGACCCTGTGCTCTGAATCTCCAGCTGCAGAGAACAGCACGTCAGAAAGCAGCTGCTCCCACCGCCTCCACAGGTACCACCCTAGTGTTGTTTCCCCTCCTGTCAGATGCCAAAGGGAAGTAACAGGTGTCCTATGGCTCTAGACTGCCTGAAAACTTCGGTATGCTTTCCAGAGGCAGGAGCATTGATTATGCTTTTCACAGTTTTTGCTCTTCCAAAATATATAAGAAATTAAGCATGCCTGTACATGACCAATGATCAGCTCTGCCATCTGTCATTATACCCAGAACTCATCTAACCAGTAGAAAAAAAATACATCAGCAGTAAGAACCTTACCCATACAAGAAAAAGCACAATTTCCCATACAAGGACTACAGCAGCCTCGGAGCCATTGCAGCTTAGCTACTCCAGGGTCACTTTATTTTCAAATTAGAGCTTCCTCAACACAATAATGCACTCTAATTTCAAATATTTATAGTGACCATAGTTACACCTTGACACACTCTCTACATACCATGCTATGCAACTTTACCCACAGTAACAAAGTTCACAATTTAAGAGAATTAAGTTTTTTTACATGCATAAAAATCAGCAGATATCACTTTGTACACAGCAGACTTAAGTCACTGTACCACATCTAGGAGCCCACCGTAGTAGTTGGCTTGACACTCAAGACAGTACTTTGTCTTTCTAAAAATAAACCATGGTCAGAGAAAGAAGGTATATCTAAACTGTAAGCACGTTAGCAAAATTCTCATGCTTTTATCAACTGAAAACAAAAATTAATTAAATTAAGACTGTAGTTAAAAACTAATTTGCAAAACCCTTCTTTCATACCACTCTTCTTTAACCGCTATGTTCAGCTTATATTGATCATTGCTTCTTCTAATTCAAGGAAGGCAAAATGTATTGTCTTCCATGCTAACAAGGAAACTTAACTGATAACTTGCTCAGCAAAAATGAAGACTACAGCGTATGAACTACACTCAATTTTGCTGTCTAAAATCTAGTACTGCTAGCAAGTCTAATGCATATACACTTCTTTGCTAAATATCTTACATAGGAAAAACTACATGAGCATTAGATGCTGAGAACGATTACTATCATAAGCTAAGCATGGATCTTCAGAAGAATTCCACATATATGTCAAAGACTCATTTAAGAAAAGCAAAAAACATGTAAGACGTAGTTAGGGGTGAAGTTAACCTTCAGATTTGAACCACTGTGATGGCTGATCAGTACTCCTAAAGATGGGGAATGAATACTTTTATGCTGCTTTGAATAATTTCGGAAGTTCAAAAGAGCCTAAGAGCCAGCAGGGCTGCTGGATGCAGCTAAGGATGAGAAGAATGTGACCTCCTTTCAGTAGCTGCAAGGCATTAGATCAGCTCAACTGTAATATGCAATTTCACCACAAGATGATAGTCATTTAAGAGTAATGTAAGAAAAATAACAAATAAACCTCTAGCAAACATTTATTTTCATCACATTTATCACTACGGTTTTAAGCAGGCATGCAGCAGCCACAATAATCAGTGTTTTCCCCTTGTTGATTTTGGAGAGTAAGCTATTACAGATTTAAGATCATCACAGTCTGCTGTGGACAATGTCTACAGACAGGGCTCCAAAACATCACGATAATATAGAATACAAGCCAATAGTTCAGGTGTTTTCAGCAAAGGCGTATTATTTCAGATTGAAGAATGAACTGCCAAATTCTGTCTCTCGAAACTTGGTACCAACTCCCCAAAAAACAAAACACACACCCCCCAACCTCTTTCATACTTGCTGACTCATAGTCTTCCCACCCTCTTTCTTAAAAAAGCAGTTGCATTTTCTGCCTCCTTTCCTAACAAGTTCATTATGAAGCAAGTAATTTCCAATGCAAGTGACAGAATACCAAAACCAGAAATGTCACTCTAAGTTAAACCTATAAAGTGAAATTTACTACACTGAAATTTAGTACCCCAGTTCTAATTGTAGAACGGTTTGGGTTGGAAAGGATCTCGAAGATCATCTAGTTCCAATCCCCTCTGCCATGGGCAAGGACACCCTCCACTAGACCACGTTGCCCAAAGCCCCATCCAACCTGGCCTTGAACACTTCCAGGGATGGGGCATCCACAGCTTCTCTGGGCAACCTGTTCCAGTGCCTCACCACCCTCACAATAAAGAATTTCTTTCTAACATCTAATCTAAATCGACCCTCCTTCAGCTTAAACCCATTACCCCTTGTCCTGTCACTACACTCCCTGATAAACAGTCCCTCACCATCTTTCCTGTAGGCCCCTTCAGGTACTGGAAGGCCACAATTAGATCTCCCCAGAGCCGCCTTTTCTCCAGGCTGAACAACCCCAACTCTCTCAGCCTATCTTCATAGGAGAGGTGCTCCAGCCCTCTGATCATCTTCATCCAGCATTATCTTCTATTAACTATATTATTTTAGCCACTTGCTTAAGAAGTGGTTCAGTGTGCTTCAGTGGTTGTTTTTCATCTCGAAATGCTGCCTAAAATTTTAGTATGGAATGTAACGCCTTAATAGGTTACCTCTGTTACCAAACATCACCACTAAGTACCATGCACATATTAACTAGCCCATATTTGACACCAGTGAGATAGGTGTGCATTTTGCAAAAATAGATATGAAATAAATCATAAAACCTATTCAAGATTATGCAAGTCTGTGGTACAAGCCAGAGATTTTAAGTCTCAACTTAAAAGCCATGCTTCCTGTTATAATTTTAATGACTCTAGATACAATGCTTCCCTCCTCCATTTATCCCACTAATTTTTTTTTTTTCATTAAAACATGCTAAAAAGTGGTTATGTGTGTCCTGTGTTAGGACTTACAAATCTATTCTTGCGAGTTTTATTTATTCAAGTTTTTCTCATGTATAGTTTTGCCTCCCTAGGTTTCAATCAGCAAGTAAAACATAAGCTATGTACCTGTTGAGTACAAAGTTAGAAGAAAAGAGCATAAAGAGGCTCCATTCATTTCCTTGGCAAGCATAACCGAGCATAGCTATTTCCCACGCCAATCTACCTAGCCCAGCACCAGGTACCAGGATATTAACTTTGGAGAAATCCCTGCAACAGAACAAAAATAATAGTTAAGTCTTTATCTGATACCTCTTAACAAAACTTACAGAGGGCCAGTCAAACATTTTTCCCCATATACTTAGATAATATAATGTACTTCCTGTATGACTTTACTTTTTAAATGCAAACTGAGCCAGTTCTGATCAGACTGGTTAACTGTATAGTCAAAATAATTCACAGAAATTACTCAAAAGAACATATACAACCCTCATTCAGAATATAGAGCATAATTACAAAACAAATTTTTTCCTGAAAACTTTTACAATTATCAAACTAAAAATCTCTTAAGTGAATTGAAGAATGAACATCATCATATATCACCATGTATTCTTCTATGAGGCCCACTGAGAACTAGTAAATATTCTATAAATCTTATGACATCACATGAAAAATAAACAAGTATTGTAATATCAGAAACACAAAATAAAACTTTCATAAGCTGATGTGCAATTCAGACTGCAAAAACCTTAAAGTAGTTACCTTTTCAGCAACTGTGGGTTTTACATATGCTGTTCACCAATTTCACTCAACCACATTAAGTGACATAAGATTTCCTAAATTAAAGTACATTCCAGCTCTCTAACCCTTCACTTCCCTTAACTAAGTATCAAGTTGAAGACATCCAGCAGTGTGTGTTTACCGAGATACCTAGAAAAACCTCCCCCATCTTCCAAGTTCATCAGCTAAGATATAGAACTAAGAATCTAAAAATTTTCTCCCTTTTCAGGTAGAAAAGACAATATATACATCTTCTAACCATTAGACTTCTACCACAATGTGATCAAACCTTCACTCATAAACCAAAAAACACTCCCATGCCAAACTGAAAAGATAATTCACCTAAAAAGAAGTAACTTTTCATTTTCCAATCGTGGAAAAATCTTCATAGTTTCATATAGGAAAAAACCAAGTGTGAACACTCAGACTACCCTCCCTTTTCCATGTCACCTTCAAAGACAAAACGTGTATTAATTTATATGCAAGTAAATGAAGGAAGCCACAATCAGCACTTCGAAACATATGATGAAAGAAAGCAAAATGCAAAGCCTTTGACTACATAAAAATTCAGGATGCCAAAATGGATTCAAAAGAGATAGTATGCATAAGCATGAAGATGAGTGAGGAAGTTACGTAAACTCTGAAAAGTAGTGCATTTCTGAAGACCATTACCACACACAAAAGAAAGCATTATTCTTTTCTAAAGGCCACACAAACCAACAAAGCAGTTTTAACAGTGCCTTTTCATTTGTAATTAGTGAAGCCTCCCAAATGGAAAACTCAAAAGTTCTTCTCACTCCTGATTTTCAATTCCACTCCATTACACCTTCAGATTCTTTGTTTTCTGATTAAAAAGAAGCAGGAAATCAAGATTTTGCTATTACTTAAGAGCACTTCTGTGAAGTAATAGTTCTCCTTACCTCTCTTCTACAAGGAAAGCCAGAAGAAAGCTAGCCAGGAAGTCCTACTGAGAAAAGAAAGATTATCTGAGGGGAAAACTACTTGATGAAGATGAATGTTTTGAAAATATGGAGCCAGAAGGAGGAAGAGGAAGAAGAAAATCCACTTTCTGGGAGAAGCCAGAAAACCCTCAATCTTAGAGCTTTTTCTATTCATAGAGGTATGTCTATTCACTGTTGTTCCAATGTATTTCTAACCTATTTCTTCATTTCCTTACAATTTAATTTTATGAAATATTTAGTGTAGCTCTACACGGATTTTTGCACCCCCGTGTGGACACTTCTACAAGTGGGCTGAAAAGCCTTATACCACTTCCACGATTATCATACATGGATTAGAAAAGACACCTTTTTTTTAAAACAACCAAATAAAAACAAGCTATGCAGCTGTAATCATGTTTTGAAATCTGCACTTTATTCATCCTAAAACAAGAGAAAGCCACTAACAGGCAAGCTGATTTTAAATTACTTGTAATTGTCTTGTACCTTTTTATTCACAATATAAATCTTTTGTATCCCTGAACTAATTTTCCCAATTCTCTTTTAGAAAATAGTTGATCTTAACTGCACTTTCCTTTGCACCTGGAAACTGGGCAGCAATTTAATTTCCATCTATACTCTTCCTATCAGTTGCCGGCCAGGAACTGGTGCTGGCCACCAATTTTATTTCAGCATGCAGACCACAGCTAACAGAACAAAATATAATCAAATCTGAGTCCACTAACATTGACTCTAGCCTTCCAAAATGGTTCAAGAGTATTTTTTTTTATTCTATAATCAGAGAAATTAGGTATGTGGCAAACTTACTGCAAAACGAGAAGTGACTGTTTAGTGTCCTGTTATCAAAAAAAAAACCCAAACCCATGCCTGAACACCTTTTGCTTGTCAAGACTTAAAAAGAATTGTTAGCGACAAACTGTTTATGAATTTCAAAAAAATTAAGATGCAAAACCAGCGGTATTATAAACTCCAATGCACTATATCAGGCTAATTTTTAAATCATTACAACAGCTAAAAAAAATTAATTGCATAGAAACTGCCTTTTTAATGGCTAAAAGGTCATAAGGTAATTTAGGAAGCTAGCTAGGAAAACATGCTTTCCTTTGGTGGATATGCATTTGCAGCAGTAGCAAAGACAATTAAAAAAGTAACCCAAACTATGGTAACTGTTAACCCAAGGTTATCCACAGTGAAACTAGCCTTAGGAACATAAATGGGTATCCAACAAGTACCCATTAAAAACCTGTGGGGCAACAGGGGAGAAACACTTGCCTATTAACCTGACAGGTGTGGGCAGAGGAGGCTGGGCCAAAGAGTGGGGAAGAGGGCTGCATGGTACTGATTGCCTCAACTACTGAACCTGGAGCAGTGTCAAAAAGGTGGTGGAGAAATATCAGAAACAACTAAGATCTGTCATGCCAGTACTGTACTGCAGTTTGCAGTGTGATCTATTTTCAGCTTTTAGAAGTTTAATGCCATTAATGAGATTTTAACTTGGTGTACTTTTTTAAATGGAAAAATTATATATGATAGAGGCTTTTTATGCCTATTGTGCTTTAACAAAAAAAAAAAAGGGCTGAAGGGTTAAACTGAAGTTCAGCATAAGAAAAATCAGTGTGTGTGAACAAACACAAACTTAATTTTCATAAATTCAACACTGCAATTCAATGTTCTCTAATGATAAGAAGTGGTAAGAAATATACAGCCCATACACAGATGATCAGCGGAAGTATCAGCATAAAATCACACTGTGGGACTCCTCTCCTGATGTCTTACCTCTGTAATGCTTGTAAATTGAGATAGTGAACAGATCCAATTCTCCATATAGGATTTTTTCATTTTTTTTTACTGTAATCATTTTCAGAGATTTCTTTTTTAAGACAACGATTTTTCAAGTAAAAGAATGAAGATAGTTAAAAAGCACAATCATTTGAAGATCAGTTCTCCAAATTTAGCAGCGGAGGTTTATATACTTCCATGTAAAGACCTGCAAAGCCTTCAGTAGACTGCAATAACACATGCAAGAAGTGTAGCCAAACTTGTGCTTAGGATTAAGAAGCTATGTTCTCCAAATAAAATGGAAACTGAGTGCTGGTGACTTCTTTTGGGCTGTCCTGCCAGTATCTTGGACAATGCAATCAATTGCTAGACAGTGTGACAGATTTAAATTTCAAGTTATAGGTGATTCCAGAGGCCATGTTAATGAATAAAAGAAAACTGGAGAAAATATCCAGGTTTACTGTTCTTGGCCATAGGACGATAATTAGCTAAAAGGTTAACTATAACTATTTCTTTAGTTCCTTTTGGACAAGCAGTTGATGATCTTTACATCCTTTCACACAAGTAGAAAGGCTAACAGTAGAAGTGAAAGAAAATCAAGACAACAAAAGAATTAGAAAAATAAAGTACCTGTATGCTTATTTAGATTTTCAACTTAATGTTTCCCCACAAAAATGCTTTAATGAACACATTCCCTCAAGAAATAAAAATGTATCTATGTTTTACTACTTTTTTCTACAGAAAGCAGTGATCATGGTTCATTCAGAGCCAAGAAATCCAATACATTTAAATGGCTTCCATCAAAAGGTGGACAATATTAGAGAGACCTGGTAAGCTGAAACACAATTAAATTCCAAAATTAATAATGCAGAAAATCTGTCAGTTTTTCAGAAGACCTTTTCTCATAAAACTGCTTTGTTGATCCTACTAACAGGCTCTGTGTTAAGGTGCTAAGCAGAAAGAAGGCATTATCTCTGAATAGGAATGGGAGACAGAAACAGCTTTTGCCGTTTTATTTTTAGACAACAGTCTTGTCAGAAGACCGGACTGAAACACAAGATAACAGTAGCACCTACTCACAAGACTGTTCTAATTTACAGCTGCTTTCAACCATTGCTTGTATCTCTTCTGCTTCCCAGAAGAACAAGCATATAAAGCACTTTTTTCCTGTTCTTTGCATACCAACTAAACCAATACAGACCAATCTTGCAAAGAACAGGAACAAAACACTGTGTGTGCACATGCACCAAAACATACTTTAAAAAATTTAAAGTCCTTTTCCACAAGATTCCAATGCATGGAATCAATGTTAAAAATGTTAACTAGGAATTGAATGTACAATTCTACTGAAGCCATTAAAAAGTAAATGTGTAAAAAGTAGAAAGTGACTTGTACTGACAGTTTAAAATTTAAAACATTTATTTCTCCATCTTTTTCAATGCAAAATAGATCTAGACAAAGCTGTTTTCATCACCCAGTGCCAACAATACACTTTTTTTCTAGCACTTTCATCATCTCAGGAGACATCAGCACTCTGTGCTACAAAAGGGAACTCTAAATTTAGACATGCAAAGCTACACTCTGAGGTTCCATCTACAGGCTGTTTTCCCACATTAGCACCCACAGCCAGTCCTTCCCAGAGGAAACGGACTTTGCACCCACTATACACAACAGCCAGAATAACTTCACTACAGTCACTTCAAGCCCTCTCCATCCCTTCAAACTGAAACAATTGTTCCTCTGCAAAACTGTAAAAAAGGAACCAGACTGACCAGCCAGCCTGCCCTGCCAGGGAAGTTACTTCTGGCACAAGGGTGAGGGACCACTGCCATTCAAGCCTGATAATACCCAAAGAGAACCCGCCCTTCTGAACAACTCTGCTTCTTGCCTCAAAGAGGTAAGCACACCTAAGTAGGAGAGAGAACCTCTGGTCACTAGGAAAAAGAGCAAGCTGATGACAGCTCCATAATGTCATGAAAATTAACCATTTAAATAGGTAGGTATGTATGTAATATACATTTTATAAATTAAAAAAATTGTTTCATTTGACAAACTCAGACTTGTAGAGATGTTTGATCTATACAGAAATGGTTTAAGGTGTCTGTAGAGACAGAAAAACCTAACTGGTACTTCAGAGCCATTACAACAGGGACAGAAGCACCGTCACATTCATTGTGTTTGACAACAACCAGAATTCCTGGTAAAGCAGCACAAAGCTCTCAACTTCTGATTAATCTGTTACCACACGTTGCTTCCTAAGTAGCAAGTGGAGGTTTTGAAATAGAGTTCGTTGATGATAAATGTACAAGTCAAGACTTTCCAACTTCAGTCACGTATCTCTTAAGATTTGACGTTACCTCTCTCATAACCAAAATGCTTTAAAAGCTAGCAGAGAAAAAGGTGAACCGCAACTTTTAAGATTAGAATTATTACATTCAAAATTATGACTTTTCCGACAGATCTGAATAGCAGAGATACATGAGGTAACCTGCAACATTTAATTAATTTTTATCTTATGTATGGGACTATTAGCACTAAAAACACGGCTGAAAGTTCACCTTCGGATAAAATGGTTTTAGTGGTGCATCCACCTTGAGATAAGTTAGCCCAAGGCAAAAGAGAAACCAACCAACCACATCCACTCCATGTTCTGCCACACTAACGCTCTTTACTAATGAAAATTAAAAGATGGCTAGTGGAAGGTATTTTCCAATTGGTACAAGTGCTTTATTAGCAATTACTGAGAAAGACGACAACCCACAGTAACACCCAGCTATATCAAACCTAAGTTCTGACCTGTTACATTTACGAGTACAAAGTTCACGAATTTTCCCATTATAAGAGTGTTAAGTTTGAACTGAAATGTACTTTATGATGATTGGGCTGACTAAATGGCAGAACCATTATACACGGAATTCTTACAGCAGTAGTATCTTCTGAGATCCTACCAGTATACATCTACTTAAAGTTACCAAAAAAGCCCCACACCAATTACTATTTTGGTGGTGTTAACAAGCAAACGCAGTAACAAAGCTACCCTCACACATGCAGAAAAGCTTCTTTAAGACTTGCCTTGTAATACCTGTCTGAAACAAAGACTAGAATTAAGTACTTGCAGGGTAAATTCTTAGTGGAATAAAACCACGCTGAAGGTTAAGAGTCTTCTTTCCTCCTTCTTCCATGAAGGGCAATACTCATGCTTGTTGCTGTCAGAAGGGTCCCTTCCCTTCGCCTGCAGCACAGGCACTCTGAGAATCTGCTAACCTGCAAACTTTGCCTCACTGAGCACAACTGAGTTAACTTCACAACCTCCTGAGGTCTCTTACTCGAAAAGTTAACAGATCTCCTGTTACATCAAGCTGCAGGGAAAAACAAAAAAATCTGGTTTACCTGGTATTCCTTTGTGAAGTTTACGATTATGCTCTTTTCCAACACCTTGTATTAGAAACAAAAACTTTATCGATTAAAAATAAATTCCACTGCATTCACAATAATTTCGATATTTTTAAATCCAAGCTTTTCATTACTCCATAAAAACTGTTAGATTCGTGCAACAGTGTATGCCCACATAAAAATAAGTCTTAAAACACTATTACCATCTTTCTTTTGGAAAGTTCTTTACAATTTCATTAATGATTGGCTGGTAGCAGGCATCTCTCTCAGGCTTCCCCTCTTCGCTCCAGTCTCTCACAAATTGTTTCAAAGTGGATTTTAATTTATCCATGTCAAATGTTGAAGCTGGTGTAATGTTCCCTCTTCCCTGATTAAAGTGGCAGGAAAAGAAAAAAAAGAGTTAGTGGAAAATGTACCAAGTATATTCAGTCTTGGAAAAAAAACCAACTAAATTATAAACAGACAAAAGCCATGCTAAAAGGGCAGTTGGGAGTTTTAGCTGACAAAGCCCTCGCCTTTCACTCCTGGGACCAGCGCTCAAATCCACCTAGAACCCTAAACAAATTTGGTTTGCTGGTCTCAGTTTGGCACCCAAGAGACCAGGTTCCACACCAAAAAATTAAAACATAGTATGGCATAACAGCACACTTGGTTGTCCTTATTCAGTAACAGACCAGGGCTTAGCTAGTGCAGAGGCTGAACTGCTTACCCTGAGAAGATGATCCCTTTAGGTACTGAGAAGCTCACATTAGAGCTGCCCATTACTGTACCTTGCCTGCAGATACCAAACAAGGACTTCAGTTTCGATCTCTGCCAGTCTGAGTGCATTTTTTTTTTGATAGAGATGCCACACTGAAAAAGCAGGTAAGTAGTGAAAAAGTTTTTACAGATAAGAACATTAAAAATACTTTGCCTATCTAAAATTGTAACTGCTTTAGAATGCCATAACATATAATAACCTACAGTAAGACAGACCACACCATCTATACTTTACAGAGTTAACTGAAAAAATAACTTTAAAACACAACCAGGGTAGAGGTAGAACTCTGGAGTGGAAAACTGCCTTTTTTTTTTTTTTTTTAAACAGTAAGTCATTACTGTCATTTGCCAAATTCACAATTGGTTTTCATAAGTGTAATTATAAGGAATAACAACCAATTACTAAACATCAGCTCTACAAGATGTGAAAGATGAGAGTGAGAAAATATAAGCAAACGGGAAGTAAGAAAGCAAAAAAATCCAGAAGGCAAAAGGAAAGAAAGCTGGAGGCCCAAAGGTGTGAAAAACAAATGTAGAAAATCCCAAAGCGTACAGAATTTAACTTTGGAGTATGAAAAAGTCCATTTTAACGTACGTCTTCTCCATATTCTTTATTTTCAAACATATGAACGCAGTCATTCACTATGGTCTGTAGTATCTCTTGATTATGATCAATGCACTTCCGAATCTTGTCAAGGTGAGGAAGGAATTGAGGAAGAAGACTCTGTTGGTTAGCTGGGAGAGATTTAAACTGCCTCTCTGTTCTGTTGACTCGTTCATGCATATTCGTTCTAAAAAAGCAAAAAGTTTAAGGTCTTTAGATATTTAGAAGCAATGCAAACACTAAATATAAATAATTCACTCAAAGCTACTCCAGTTACAATTATTAATTTCTTTAGACACAAAAAGTGATTAGACTTTGTAATTCTTTACTAGAGAACAAGTTTTCAAGAACTTTTCAGGCAAAAATGTTTGTTTAAAACTCTAGTTCTACATTACCACTCTTTTTAAGAGGACCATTGTTTTCTTCTTGCAGTTTCATCATCAGCCACTTTTTTCCAGCACAGGTGAGCACTACCTTAATACATGCATCTACAAAACAATGAACAACCAGCCCCCAAACCCATTAAAACCAGCCAGATTGTTTCACAAATCCAATTTAAAATTAATGAATACCTGAATTATGTATTTCATACAGAAATAATGAGATCTGGAGTGGGAACAGGGATCCTCAAAAACTGTAAATGTCAGAGCCGGGCCATACCAGAGTTCTGGTAGCCACAGTAAGATATTAAGCTACCTTCTTTTAACAGCATATTCCCCTCCACGATGAGTACTATGAATTTGATCATGTAACTGATCCAAGCTAAAAATAACTCTTCCACTTCCCCAAAATAAAAGTTCCATTAAAAAGGTGAATCTACTGCCAAGGGAAGGAGGTCTTTTTTCTTTCCTCTTTCTTCCCCTCTACCTTGTTTTAGCACTTGCCAGGCCTGCCACAAAGCTTGTTTAACTTGCTCACCCTTAAGAAACCCGTATAGATTTTGCTAGATTTGATTTCTGTCAGTTTAGTAAGTCAAACTGGCTGAGCAGTCATAAGGACTCTAGGGAGAGAGAGGTCGTAAAGCCAGAACAAGGGATACTGCCTCTTTTGGCAGCAGTGAATCATTTTATCACGTCAAGTCATACTGCAATTTCTCAAACTCTCGTGTCAGCATACAGAAGCACAGAGTTGAAAACTAGCCATCAGAGAGAGTAAGGTGCAATTGCCGTAGTTTCAGTTGCAAAATACCTCAGCCTGTAAATTTGACTAGTTAGTATCTCCAACATTACATACGTGCTACTGAGGAGGGCATGTTCACTGCAACAGCTGCACTGCATTAAAATTTCATTTAAGAACAAAAAACAGAGAAAGAACACTAAGACAAATAAACTGATCTTCTATATATAGCACATCAGCTTGGCTTAGTATCATCTTCTTGAGTTTTGTAAGAAAAATTCTCTGAACCATAATACTCTACCCTTTCATGTTGCAGTGCAACCTTCTAGCAGCATGAGTAATCCAATGAAATCAGAACTACACACGAAGAATGAAGTTAAGACCTTACGTCTCCAGAAGACAAGGACTTTAGAAACATCTGAAAGTGTGTTATTGCCTTACTCATACAGATGTTTCCAATTACATTTCTTGGTAGTTAAAAAGAATTTAATTTCACTTAACTTCGAAGTTATTTCTTTGAAGCAGAGGTAACTTAATTCAATTTCTGTACTGGAATTTTGAGTGATATCCTTTTGTTTTATGTTTACTGAAACTTAGGTATTCAAAAGCAACCGGGAGTCACACTTGAGCATGAGATCGAGAAAGATGTTTCCAGCCTCCTAGGCCTGAGGATACAATTACATCACCGATACAAGTAAATTACAGTTGGCTGTTGCGCCCATAATAATAACTAAGTCTTCTGAAGATACATCCAAGTGTCATCTAGACCAAACTCCTGCTCATATACTAGTGCTGGGAAAAAACCTGCCAACCACCAAACAGTAAACAGAAGAAATGCTCTAAACACCACCCACACCATGCAAGAACCTGTCATGTAAAAATTATGCTTGTATTACATCGACAAAAAGGGTCCAGCACATAATAATGATTCACACGACAAGAGTCTGTCAACCGATGTATGCAAATACGTAGTATAGCTACATGGCAAATCTCCTTCCCAAACCTGGAGTAACAGAAGTTAGTTTACCTAATTACTGTAGAGGACTGGACCTTCTTAGCCAGTGTCCCTCCCTCCCTCCCGGACACTTTGAGTAACTTTTGTCTCCTCTTCCATTCAATGGCTTCAGATACAAAGTAGGGTCTCCCTCACCCTTTATCTCATTTCCATGGGGCCATCAAGCCCTTCTGTGACTCAACAAATGTCTAGAAAACTGAAGTTATAACAAAGTGGCATCCATTAGCCCTATCAGCAGGTCTTATCTCTTGCTTAAATTAACACGTCTTCCCCAATAATCAAAGCACCGTTTGCATTTCTTTGCCAGCAGGAGCTACTATCGTTTTGAGTACTTTACGGTGTCTTAAAGCATTTTTTCTTTTAAAAAGACCCTTTTCAGGTGCGCCGTACTTCGAGATGGTTTGGGTTTTTTTTCTGTCGTGCTTCCTAGCTGGCAAAGACATCGAGCCGGCTTCGTGCGTACCCAGAAGGGAAGCGGGAGCAGACGTCCTTTCCTGACGGGGTTCTGCGCCCCACGGCAGGCGCGGCGCGCCCCAGGGAGCGCCGACCGAGGGAGGC